TTTAAGCAAATTAAATCAATTATAATTATCAACCAAAATTCTTTAATCAAGTTGCGTGATGTTCGAGATTAACACAGATTTGAAAGAGTACAACTGATTTCCAATGTAAATCAGATTTAATCGAAAATAATTAATTATCATTGATTAAAAATCTTTAATAAAATTCTATGAGATTGGAAATTATAATTGATTTTCTATCGAAATCAGGTTAGATATTAGTTTATCAATTATAATCTAAATAAAAAAGGATCATTTTTCAGCTGAACAAGTTTAAATCAATTTTAATTCAATTATTTTATAAATAACAATTTCTTAGCAAAAACTGGGACTATTTCGTCCATAATTAAAAATAATTGTTATTTTTACATCAATATTTGTCACTAAGTATAAGTTAAATAATATTGTTTTACTCATTTCATCTTATTGAATTCCGCCGATAGGGGTGTAGGTGTGGGTGTGAATATGAGTGTGAAAAGAATAGAATACCCACACGCAGACCCACACGCTCGAATAAAAGCTAAAACAAAATATTTCTTGATACACTACTGAATTCAGAAATTCTACGCTGAAATGGTAGAGGTATGTGACAACTATTCTTAATGTTAATCATTAACTGGATGTATCAACGGATATCGAAATGGTAAAACTATCTGATGTTATCTTTTGGCATTCTCATCCTCATCTGCGCATTGAATCGAATCCTTTTTTTATACGATTGGGTAGCTGCGGTTTCCACTAATGAAAGTATCATTATTTGAGAAGAAAACATTCATCAGTTTGTTCTCTTTTTCTTTGTTTACATATATCACGAGTGAAGGACCATACTATTCAAAAAAAAGAAAAGGTATTATAGGGAATATTTCGCCAGTATCATTTTACAAATGTTTTTTAGTTGTAGACTTTATGACTAGAATTCAAAAAAAAGGCTTATGAGATCGTATCCAAATTCACAACCCTAAAAATCCCAAGCTCTTCGCTCAAATCCTTAATGGTTTCTTATAACAGGTTGTTTTAGGGAGGACAATATGCTCTTTCTTTATAAAATATTCGCAATAGAGCTGTACAAGCATGTTGTGCTTGAGAGGAAGAAAAAGAAAAGCCATCGACGTTTTATGTTTTACCTATTCAAGTGTGACCACATTACCATAAAGTATTAACAAACGTTAAGCAAAGCACAAAAAAAGTTTTTATTTTTGCCAAACTATACTTTCTCGTGTAGCGATAGTTGAGTCTTGTGAATGAAATATTTATATTCATTCAACAGTATGGAATTTGAAAAAAAACGTCGAAACATGGTAAAGTAGATCTCTCTATCGTTGTCATTGTCATCATAAATAGATGCAGAAGAAAGTCGTTCTACTTACCGTGAGTTCTTCCATTTAATATGTCCGAAATTGTCTATTTCGTACAAGAAGTATATGATTTCTTTGCCATCCATTATTTATTCACCTCGTTATGATAATGTGTCTGCGTCGTAGAGAATTACCAGAAGCCTGAATACGGTTGCATTGATAGATGCGTAAGACAGTATTCACTTTTTGTACCTATGCCAACATAGTCAAGAAGCAAATACAGCTCAAATGCGTGTAGTGGTTTTATGAGGAATGCGAGGATCAACAATTTATGATAAAAATGAGATCATTTTTGATTTTCGAGCATATCTTCACTTTAAATAGCATGCGTTTTCAACTATTTTGAGTTCAAGTTAAACAGATTTATCTTGAGCTCTCATCGAACGAGAACTTCGACATAAAATAGATAAAAACTTCTGAAATCTGTAAATCTCACAAGAAATATCTCTGATCGGATGTTAACTTGATCTGTTCAGAAAAATCTTAAGATACACAAAAACAATTTGTAACATCCCTGAGAGGCGTCTAGTTTATATAGCGTTCCGCAATAGATTGTCGAAAATACCAGTTATAGCTCATTCTTAAGAGAAATACTACAACTACCAGACCATATAGCTTTGGAGAAAAAAGAACGAATCTTATACATCGATTATAGATTTAAAACATGAGTTATTGTACCGATAATTGGTCAACATGTCTTCATACTAAATTGATGAGCAATATGGAGAACTATGCTCAGAAAGTATCAATAGAATTGGATGAACAAAGTTTATCGTATGCCGAGACAGGCTACTATGTACAACGTCTTGCTCTAGCTTTGCTCAATACTGATTTGTTCCATCGACATGAAATAATCTATCAAATGGTGACACGAAGCATTGAATTACCATTGGGAATGTTTGCCATATATACTGTTGGTCGCATCTATTTTGGTCTCAATCCAGATGAGTGAGTATCAACCGATGGATCTAATGCAAACTTTTACTGTTGTTTCAGTTCTGATCTTCGGGTTTCGTCACTTATTCATGATACGGCGACTACTCAATGTTCTGCAGACGTCAATACTACCGATCAGGTACAATTTTCAATCTCAATTTATTCTTACTATTTCCTACAGATCTATTATCATTTAGCTTTGATTATTGTAGATTAGTAGAGCTAAGGTTTTTTTGAAAATTAGATCAGGATGATGAGAAGTTTAATTTTGTTGTGAATTGAATAAGATCAGCATGTACTTAGTTAGAGTCACTTGTACGAAACCTTATCCGTTTATATCTCACATTTTATCATTAGTAATAGAATATATTTGCTGTAATTGCAATGTGTTTCATTTAGGTATCATATCCATCTGTTGCACTCATTCTTGTTCATCAAATGACACATGAACGAGCCAATAATTTGTTGGCAAATAAAGCTATTCAGCTGGAGCCAGTTAACATGTCGAGCATCATTTCCTCGATGAATACGGAAGAGACTGACGCATTGACTGATGACGATCTTGTTTGTCTCTCAAATGTAGACGTCAGCAAGACAAGTTCAGCTTTCCTTAATTGCACGTCGGGCAGTACAGGCAAACCCAAAATCGTCGAACATACTCATGGATCTGTAACTTATTTTCTGCATAGTATAAACGAAGCCTATCAGTTTCGTTCTACAGACAACATTTTACAGTTGGCTAGTTGTCAATGGACTACACATGCATGGGAAATCACTTTTCCTCTTTACTTTGGATCTACTCTTGTTCTTCTTCATCCAGGTGGTCAACTCGATGTTGACTATCTGCTGCAAACAGTGATGAAAAAAGAAATCAGTGCTCTCACTTCACTCCCGTCAAGTGCTCGTCTTCTTGCTGAGCATGCTGCCACCAAGTCAAACGGAAATGTATCATGCTTCGCTTCTCTGCGTGTATATACAATTGGAGGTGAGTTGAATGATTACTTTTCTTTCTTCTTAGAACGATCACCTTACATTTTACTGTTCTCTTAAATCTTGACAAGATAATGCAGAGAATATTCTTCTCTTCTCGTATAAATAGTTTTTAGCAGTGATGCGTCATTTACATAAGAGCTAAAGACATATCGAGAATATTTACCTATAGTAGCATTTCTAATCAGACATAACATAAAAGAGAACGATTTCATGTTTTTTTAAACGTGGAAGCAGTTCTTTTTCGACAAATTATTTGATATCAAATTCTAGTCGCATCACTTTTGATAAACGAACTCTGAAATATACATCAAACAGAATTCAAAAAACTCTGTTCTATTAATAGTTCTATCCCAAATTTTCACATTAATTATTCATGCAACACAATACAGAAACTGACTCCTTTTCATTATGCCACAATGAGTTTAAGTTCGTTGAACCTAACTCTGACCTGTCAATACAGCAGTAATCATTTTATCAAAGGCAGTACTCTCATTCTATTTATTATTTAGGTTCAATTGCCGCCAAACATCATATCATGCCTCTCCTACGTATGATAGAACACCAACAACCTTTGCCACGTATTAGGATCGCAATGGGCATGTCGGAAACGGCAACCATCGTTGAGCATGTGATTAACTGGAATCTGTTGCAAACAGACAAAGATTGGGACACATTGCCAGTTGGTAAAAGTTTACCAGGACGACAATGTTTTTTACGAGACATGGACAGCCACGAGCGAATCACAGCGTATGACATTGTCGGTGAACTTTGCGTTGTAGCAGGTAATGAATACAAATTGTTCATTTCTTGTAGTTACTTAAATGGCTACGAGAAAGTAAACAATTATCTTAAAACACTGCGAAATCAAAAGCAGGCATATTCTACTTCAGGTCTTCATCACGTCTCTACGTCACTTTCTTCATATGCGAAAACTAAGCTTTATGGATATGTCTCTGTTAAGAATATTTTCACTTGGAATGACAAATCATCTTTCATGTAAATAATCGTCTTCTAGTCCTTCTAAACTCACTTTCTCAAGGTTTAGCGAAGAACTATATGATACATTATTTTTTCCGTCTCATATATATACAAGGTCGTATTCTGTATGAGATAGATACACTTGAAGATAGAGTATAGCAGTATGAGCATCGAGTCTTATGGTCTAGAGACTCATGCCTCTCCATTTCTCTTCACATTAGATTAAAAATTAATAATGAACTTTTCCAAGAATTAAATTTTATTGCAATCAAAACAATCAAAAAATTAGCTTTTCGTCTCTCGGTTCGTTCACCATTTTTGTTCGAGTAAGTTTGCGTAAATATTCACGGAATGTGCAATAAGGTTTCCAAAAATTCTTACTTCCCCAATTATTTTTTGGATTTTCTCGTTTCGACAAGATATTAAATCAATATAAAAGTTGTACCTTCGGAATTTACACGAACAGCTACATCAAATAATATATAGAACTAAATATCGTGCAATATCAGATTCTCTGAAGAAAATATAAGTAAAGAATCTCTTCAGATATTTTTTATCGAATAACAAATAATCACTTTTAGATAGAATAAATTCGTTCGACGTACGAAGACATCATATCTACCCGTCATAAAGTAAACATACTCTAGATCTGATGATTTCGAAATTTTGTTTTCTTAGTAACCATAGATAACTGCGTCAGGTCACTGTGTCGATGACACCTCTTTTACGATGTTTGATTGTTTGAAAATGTCAAAGTATCTTTATAGACAATGCTATTTTCAAATGTTATCGTGGAGATCCCATGTTGACCAATCGCACCAAAGTGATATTGCCTGATATTTCAACAACGAACTCTAGTTATGTACGTACAGGTGACTTGTGCCGATATAACAAAGATGGAGACGTCGTCTATGTTGGTCGCGTAGATTTTCGTATAAAAATTTATGGTCAACTTGTCGAACCTGAAGTCATCGAACAAATCGTATTGAAAGCGACCGATTTAGTTAAAGCTTGTATTGTACGAAAAGAACAAATACAAGAAGTGAACAACGAGTATCTATCGTGTCACTTATTAGTGACATCTGACGTCGATTCTCAAGATCTTATCCATAAAATTGAAGTCTATTGTCGACAATATTTACCTTCGTTTATGGTTCCAGTCGCTTGGCAAATTCATAGTGAATTTCCACTAACACCTTCAGGCAAAATAGCTAGAAAGCAACTCGGCGAAATCAAGCCAACGAATAATATTGGTCACATTCAGACAGAGTATGTAACTGCTCTCGCTTTCTCTCTCTGTGTCTAAATCTCAGCTTGGACGCCCTCATGCAGGATGATCAAAAAGGAAAGGAGAAACGAATTCTTTTCAATTTGTTTTGAATAGATCCATAGATAGATCTCATATTTTGGACGACATATACTATATAATAATAGTCAGAAAAACAGATTATCATCGCTATAACTCTCAACATTTCTTTCCGTTATAGTCCATCTTTAAGTTATTTTGTATGGAAGAAGTTGAAAATGATGTCAGACTCAATAGACTTTGATTCGTTCAGCATACGTTTTCATGTACGTAGACAAAAAGATAGAAATAAAATACGACAGAAAAGCAATAGACTTTTATAATAATCATGTTAAAGTAAGAAATATACATTTCAACGTCTTTCAAGAAAATCTTGAGGACAAAAGCTAATGTTAAGTTACCTTCTTAGAATTATCATATAGAATATGTGCCTCAAATATTCCTCTCACAAATATATGTTAGTGAATTGTAATATTTTTGTAAGATTAATGCAAAAAACTGAGAATAGACCTAAATATTTTATAAGCAACACATTTTCTTACACTCGATGTTTGTGTCACACAACGAAAGTTTTCCAACATTCGAATAAAATACTATCTGAGACATGACTTATTTCAATGAAAATATATCGTCAGAAACATTATTTAATGAAATAATATCCTTTTACATTGCATCGTATTTTGTAAAATTTTACAATAGAAGGAGACACAAAACTGAATTTTTAACTGGTCGTGCATTTTCGATAAAATATGACTTCTGTAAAAATCTGAGCAAAAATCGATGGGCTATTTCAAGTTATTCGTGACGAAATTCGTAAAAATTCGTTGCACAAAGCGAGTATTGTTCGAAGTAAAATTTCTTCTGAACACGTTTGATTTTCTTCTAATTCCTGATGGACGGAGGTAATTGAAAAATAAGGTCGATCTACAATACAATCAGCCAGTATTTATCGTACGATATTATAGATAAATGGCATGAAGAGAGAGAGAAATATGAAAGATATGCCATCCAAACGAATATTTCAGGCTGGACAAAATGAACTATTCATTATTATTTTGTCATTTCTTTGACGCTTAGAGAATTTCCTTTTTTTATTACATCGTATGACAGTGTGTCACTCAAAGAGTAATGATGTATAAGAAAAGAAAAGTTTTTAGATAGATACAGCGAAAATTTGATCCATACCAACAAGTTGAAATTCACTCATGTCTATAGCACCAAAATATCAATTCAATCGTGAACAATCTCAGTTCGGTAGATTATACGCTCTCGTCTTTATATTTTATCTACACTTTTCTTCATCTTCTTTTCCACGTTTAATATACTATTTGCAATTGTAACACCTGAACCAAAGAATTTATTCAAGTTTTAATACTTTTCAAGCTTCATTTTTTATTGCAAATATTTAGACTGTCAGATGAAATAAACAGAAAATTAATGATAGAAGATAAGCCAATAAGTGGATGGGGAAAGCGTGTGCATGCTATCTGGTGTGAAATTCTGTCAATTACTGATCCGACAACAATTAGTATGACGACACATCTCTTCTCTTTGGGTGGCAACTCATTGCAATTTATGAAGATCATCGCCGCATATCGAAGTTGTTTTGCCACTCCGACGCATTTTCCACCCATTACCGCTTTCATCGAGGATACAACGATTCAAGGACATGTCCACCTACTCGAACAGACATTAGATTACAGCACAACGACTGCAGAAAAACGGACTTTACAAGCTTTGCATGCTACTGAAGGTAAGCCTGTATGTTTATTGTTTTTTCTAATACCTTTCTTATAAATAATTTAAACAGAAAGTATTAAGTTGAGTTTCAATATGAAACTTCTCGTGTTTTAGATCTTTTACTTTCGATTCTTTTCCGCTAAAACTTTCAAAAATGAAAGTTTCTTGATTGTAGTATTTATGATAGCAATTTTAGTCCTAAATATTCTGACCTTCTTGAGTTCTGACATTAACAATAGCTCTCACAAAATCTATAGATTTTTGTTTAAATTGGAACCTATGGAGTTCGAATTGGATCTGAACCAAAGTGTATATAAAATACATAAATGTTGTTCAAACGGGACATCAAAGTATCGATTCAGTCTTTTTATTATACGAACAGCAAATCATAAGTCTCAAAATCTACAGCTGACAGTACTAAGTTTCACTTTGCTAAGCTCTGCAATCAGATATAAACAAATCAGTAGTTTGTTTTATATATGTAAAAAGTCAACATAGTTGAATCATCGTGTTGTCATTTGATTTATTTGTTTGACTTTTCAACCTCGATACTTTTGCAGGTAACCGTATCGACTTTTAAGATAGAAGGACTGCGCTTGGAATTCGTATTAGCCATGTCTGATAGGAGTTCTCTCATAAAACTTTGTGGCATTTTTGCATCGGATGCCTTGCCGTATACAAGCACATACAAATTAAGATTGTAATATGTGGAGTATAACTCAAATATAAATAGCGTACAGTTCGATACGTCATTGACAATTCCTCGAAAGTAGAGGTCGATAAGATTAGTTTTAGTTCTAATCTAAGGTTTCAGCCTCTTCAAACAGTTCTCTCGTTCATTTGCTCTGAACTTTGAATTAAAATATGATCAATCCCTATAAAACACACTCTTACATGTCGTTCCTATCTCGTGTTATGTAGATCAAATAAAATTATCTGATGTTTTATTATTAAGCATTGTTGAAACTAATTTTAGTTTAAAATATTTATCTGAAAAGGTCTAAAAATGTATTCAATCGAAATACACAGCTTTTTCATTGAGCATTTCTTAAATGTGGTAGCTTGCAGCATTAATCGCTAACGAATAATAGAAGCTAAGGATTACATATATTTTTCTAATGTGATCTAGATTTTCAACTCATTTTTTGATTGCTCATATTTTACTCTTGCTTATTAAATTGTTGTATAAATAAGCTTATCATGTTTTATGTACATATAGGTCCTTTAAATCCAGGGCAGGCATGGATCGTATGGCTTGATCAACAACTGTTTACTACTCAACCATCCGCCCAGCTGACAGAAACCAATGTTTCATTGCCGCTGACCATTCAACATGGCAGGTAAATGCATGTTTACGAGGCAAATTAATAGGAGTGAATTACGAAGCCGTTTAACACTTTCCTCTCAACTTATCTCGTTTAAATTGTATACGAGTATACCGAGGTATTGTTAAGATCACCGGTCTTTTCCTATAATTTCTAGACTATATTGATTTTTTTTTT